AATAAACGCGTGTTTTCTGGGTGCATTTTTGGAAGAAATCTGTTTTAAACGTTTGAAAACGCGCATTTGTGTAAATATTTTCATTTTTGCAAAGTTTATTCAACATCGCTAAGCTTGAAAATGTCGAAAAGACGTATAGAAGTGGGCGAAACGTATAACACAAAGTCGAAGAAGTAAGTGCCTCGATCTTTTTTTAGCAGAAATTTATTTCGCTTTTCTAAATATTTATAATTACCGCAAAAAATGTACATTGTTTGTTACAAGTGCCAATTTTCAAAATTGCAGAGATTTCGATACGACTACGTCAGCATTTAGCAATCCTACACCAGTGGCTCATGTTGCTGGTGTAGCTAGCGCTTCGCGGCAGCCCGGCACTATAAATCCTTACAACCTGAAACCATTTACACAGCGCTATTTCAACCTATATAAGAAGCGAATTACACTTCCTGTTTTCGAATATCAAGCAGATTTTATGCGTCTACTGAATGAACACCAAAGTATAGTTTTGGTGGGTGAAACTGGTTCTGGCAAGACCACACAAATTCCACAATGGTGCGTTGAATTTGCCATGTCAAAAGGAAAGAAGGGCACTGCTTGTACACAACCACGTCGTGTGGCCGCTATGTCTGTTGCGCAACGTGTTTCTGAGGAAATGGATGTCACCCTTGGTGAGGAGGTTGGTTATTCCATCCGTTTTGAAGATTGCTCATCACCGAAAACAGTACTGAAGTACATGACAGACGGTATGTTGTTGCGTGAGGCTATGTCCGATCCCATGCTAGAACAATATCAAGTAATATTGTTGGATGAGGCCCACGAACGTACTTTGGCAACAGATATTTTGATGGGTGTTTTGAAAGAAGTCATCAGACAACGAAACGATCTGAAATTGGTTGTCATGTCTGCTACTTTAGATGCAGGCAAATTTCAACAGTATTTCGATAATGCACCTTTAATGAACGTACCAGGTCGTACACATCCCGTTGAAATTTTCTATACGCCTGAACCAGAACGCGATTATTTAGAAGCAGCTATACGCACAGTCATACAGATACACATGTGTGAAGATATTGAAGGTATTATTAATGTAGTTATTTTGTTACATTATATTAAACAAGCGCTTCCAATATTTTTAGGTGATGTATTAATGTTTTTAACTGGTCAAGAGGAAATCGAGGAGGCATGCAAACGTATAAAGCGTGAAACAGACAACTTGGGCACGGATGTGGGCGAATTAAAATGTATTCCCCTTTACTCTACTTTACCGCCAAATTTGCAACAACGCATTTTTGAACCTGCACCGCCGCGTAATGCAAACGGTTCCATTGGACGTAAAGTAGTCGTTTCCACCAACATCGCTGAAACATCGCTGACCATTGATGGTGTAGTTTTCGTTATTGATCCTGGCTTTGCCAAACAAAAAGTTTACAATCCACGTATACGTGTCGAGAGTTTACTAATATCAGCCATTTCAAAGGCATCAGCCCAGCAACGCGCAGGTCGTGCTGGTCGTACACGTCCTGGCAAATGTTTTCGTCTGTATACAGAGAAGGCATACAAAAACGAGATGCAGGATAATACATATCCTGAAATTTTACGTTCAAATTTAGGTAATACGTTAAAGTTTAGTTATTAACAGATAATTTGTATATAGTTTTATATATTTTTGATATTTATAGGTACCGTGGTATTGCAGTTGAAAAAACTTGGCATTGATGATTTGGTGCACTTCGACTTTATGGATCCACCTGCACCTGAGACACTTATGCGTGCTCTGGAATTACTTAATTATTTGGCTGCGCTGGATGACGATGGCAATTTAACCGATTTGGGTGCGGTTATGTCAGAATTTCCCTTGGATCCGCAATTGGCTAAAATGTTAATTGCTAGCTGTCAGCATAATTGCTCAAATGAAATACTATCAATTACGGCTATGCTGTCGGGTGAGAATGCGCACATTAATATTAAATGTGTGCTTTAAGCTTTTTTATTTGTTATCGATTTACGTAAGACCAAACTGTTAAATTTATTAGGGAGAGTAGCCTTATGATTCTTAGATTCTTTCGCTGTTTAAATTTGAATTATTATTCGCGAAGAATGCATATCGTCGTCTAAAGTACAAAACCGCGTATCAACATAGGGCAAAACCGCGTATGAGAGGGTGCATAGATTATTTTGTAGAGAGTAAAAACACTCATATTTAAAAATGGTTCTCTCCTTTATAAAGCAATCGCATTTCTGGCTAGTATATTTAAGGCTTGAGCCAACAGCTCCTGAAAGCAAACCCTTTTTTTTTGGGAAAAAATATCAATTAAGCGGTTTCGTCGAACGACGATATGCGGTTTTGTACTTTAAACGACGGTATGTAAATATACAGTGGTGGAAGAAATAATATAAACTTTATATTTTGACCAGGTTTGGCTATCATTCTTGTGCTAATTCGATGTTTCATATATTATCCGCACAAACTTTGTACAAAAATTATAAAAATGCAACAAATTTTACCAAAATCCTCCAAAATTTTCTAACTTTTTTTAAAATCTTTCCTACTTTTTAGAAAAATTTTAGGTATGCAGTTTATATTCTATTCAAATTAAGTAGGATTTTTGCTGACGGTGTTGTGCATTTTCTTCCATATAAAGCAGAGGTGGGCATCCTCTGCAGAGCATTTTTGTAGTGTGCGTCCAATTGATTTCACTGTGTGCGAGCGGACAAGCCGTGCAGTTGAATGAAGCTTTCGCTGCCTTCTCAAGCAAAGCGTGGATGTATACGCGAATATGCCCTGCGGATGGACGCTCCCCAGGGCTGATATATGTGGAAGAAAATGCGTAGCAGCGTCAGCAAAAAAAAAAGTATTTGAAATCAACACGGTTTTCTAGCGTCTTGCATTTGTACTTTAGCCTACTAAATTTTAATGGGCTATAAAACTGGAAACCCAAAATTTTTTTTTTAAATTATGAATAAAAAGTTTGAAATTTTTTGCGCGATTTTGGTAAAATTTGTTGAATATTCATAATTTTTGTACAAAGTTTGAAATGGAGATTGTTATATAATGCGCCAGACTTTTATAAAAGATATGAGACATCTAATAAGCAAAGGAAAATACAGCTAAAACTTGTCGAAATAAAAAGTTTCTATTATTTCTTGCACCACTGTATTTCCATGGTTAAAACTTTACCTTGCCCTTGCTGCCTGGAAAATTCTTTACTGGGTATAAGTTTAGTTTTTGTTTAGCACAGTAAATTGAAATTAAATTTTACAGTTTTTAAACTCTTTACTTTTTCCAAAAAATTTTTCTCAATATATAAGCAAGTTAATCAGTTTTTATTTTTTTTTTTTTACCAACATCTTACTAACATTTTAGGACTGTCGCATGCTTATTTTTAGTAAAAATGCAAAAGAAAAATTTTTCCAACTCATTTGTCTTTTGCATTCACCACTGAAAACAGTTTCACAAGCGATAATGAAACTTTAAACCACTACCTCAACATGCTTTCATTTTTATTTTACCTAAAAATTATCGAAATT